AATTATCAACAATTTTAAAGTTGTTTAAGTGCCGCTAAGCCTAATTTTTTTTTTTTTTTTGATAGCGTCCATTGATTGTTTACATTTGCAACAGCAGACTAGTGGATTTGTTGCCAATCTAGAGAAACTTAGCTTCGCAACAACAAAGAAAACGCCTTCATTTATTATTTCGAATTAAATCATGCTTAATCCTTTCTGGAATTTTTTCGAGGAAATAAGTGTTTAAGATTTACTTCATAATTTTTAATACAGATATTTTGAATTTTATGTATTTTTGCCTCGTCGCGATGTGAAAACTGAGTGAAAAGAGAACTGAACTTTTAATTGAATGAGAAATACTCAATCGTCTGTGAAAAACTGTTTCTTTTTTGTTTCGTTTGCTTAATTTCTTTTATGTATCGTTTAGATTTATTACAGTATTTGAATAGAACATGTGGCAACGATTAGATAATTCTTCAAATGATATAAATTTATATGCATTCTGAGTTATAATATGAAATAAATATAATACTGTTAAAAGTGAATCTAGCGCCAGAGTGTCGCTATGGTAAACAAATAGAGTAAATTTTAAAGAATGCATTTATTCTATTGTGGTTTATGCGCTGTCGGCGAAGTAGATTTAATTCAATCTTAATTTAATCAATTTTTAATTGAATAAGTTTAAATGAAATGCAAGAAAAAATGCGTATAATTTAATATTCCGTACGAGGAAGTCCTGTGGTGTACACATCAGATTTTTTTATTACGACTTTGTAATACTGGAATATTCAACCTTTGATATTTAAACCTGAAAACAGTAGCACGAGTTAATATTAAGATTACTTTCAAAAAATTTAAGCCGGATAATATTGGGCTGATATCAAAACGTCAGCTACGAGGATCTTATTAGAAAAACCGACTTATTTAATGGGATCCTACTTAACACTCTCAGGAATAAATTTGTATATATTGTTTGAAATAGTCTTTAATTTTTTATTTTAATTTATTTTACTATTTCTGTAAGTAAAAATATATTTCACTTTTTATCAATTAAAAATTTTCAATTTTGTAATTATGCATTTTTGATATTATATTGAAATTGTTTAGTCATTATCTTTTAATAATCTACAAATAAATATGTCATTCAGGAATTATTTAACTCTTTACTATCTTTTAGTATCCTACAAATAAATATTTCGTTTAAGGAGTATTACGTATGGGTATATGGAGATCAATAAACTTAAAGTTAGGACTCAGGGGAACCACAAGGAAAAAAAAAATAAATAAATAAATAAAATAAAGTTTAGGAACCCTTATTTTAGAAGCTGCCGAAAATGATAGTGAGACAGTCAGTCATCGTTGCCAATACCTGTCTGCTAAATTCAAGAACTATCTTCTTATCTTCCTTCTTTGGTAAAAGCTTCTTTGGTAAAAGCTTCTTTGGTAAAAGCTCCCTTACCTAATTTGCCCGCCAACTGGTATAGTGGTTAGCATCGCTGATTGCCGTGCCGAAGGGCCCGGGTACGAATACCGGAGAAGGCATGGATGTTTGTAAATGTATAGTGTCTGTGCGGCATGTCTGAGCGCACTCTAAATTTGTGGCGAGCCGTAAGTCCTCTCGAAAGGTTGATGGTAGGGGCAGAGGGGGTGGGAGACCCTCAAACCCGTCCCCCGGAGTGCTCTCCATCAAAATTGGGGGCAGAGCTGAGCTAAATTGCACTGTCACCCGTAAGGTGCTCATGTCTGTTGCCAACGACAGGCATAAACTTGCGCTCCTTGCCACGAGGAATTTCGTGGACTTAAGCTGATTACAGGTCAAACAAGTGAGCATTAGCAACAGCAACAGCAACCTAATTTGCATTCTGCTGAAGCCAACGTAAAGATACTAATATTAAGGTCTGTTTGCCTAAGGAGAGGGGTGACTTTGTGGATAACTTTCTAAAGGAAACTGACTCGTATTCACGTTACACATGGGTGTTGAGTCGGAAAATGTAAGGAAGATTCCTTCTTTGGTTAAAGCTGATAAATATATACCAACTCAACAGCTTTCAGACATGCTTGGAATAAGTAAAAATGCTGTAGATTAATTTAAAATATGAAATAATGAAAATTTATGCTCGATTTCGTAGCGTATTGTAACGGGAGATGAGACCTGGTGACGCCTTAGAACACCAGAAACAAAAAGACAAAGAGTATAATGAAAAGGACCATTTTCTCCCACACAAGTAAAAGCACGGATGTCGAAATGAAAGAATAAGGTGATGCTGATTGCATTTTTTTGAATACAATAGACTTATACATCATAAACTCTCTAACCGGCAAGGCCGTATATATACGGTCTAAAATATTTTTTGTGATAGCTGTAAGAACGTTCGTATAAGTGCATATTAAAATATGTCAAAAAAATTAAGTCAATATGTTAACAGTAAACAAATCCAGGTATAAAATACCAGAATTTTTACATGAAAATTAAGAAAATAATTTTTTCTCACAGCAGTTTTGGGAAATTTGTGCTTTCTTAGAGAAAACCCCGCCGGTCAGAGGGTTAAGAAACAAGATAAGGCGAGTCAGGAAGAAATTTTTGATTCTGGGCAATAGTTTCTTTTACACGATAATGCTAGGCCCCGTACAACAGAATCTAAGCATTCAGTTGCAGTGATAGATCACCCACCATATTCTCCTGACTTATTGCTAGCTGATTTTTTTTTTCTTTTTCCAAGGCTTAAGATGATAGCTGGAAAAGATCTCGGATATGAAATCAAATATTACGTGTAATTTCCGAATAGTTAGTTCCAACGTTCATAAAAAGTGTTTCGTTGATCTGAAGGAACGTTGAGAAAACTGTACAGAATCCTCTGGCGATTGTTTTGAAGGAAATAAATTTATTTGGAAGGGAGTAATCTTTTTATTTAAAAGAAATAGTTCTATTACTTTACGGGCGCACCGTGTATTTTAGCTGCAAAGAAACTAAGGTAAGACAAATGATGTATGTTTGAAGTTATGTCACACATAGATGAAATACTTTATATTTACATAAATAGGATGAAACGAAGTATAAGTGTAAAAAACAAATAAATAAGAAACGTATAAACGATGTTTCACAGTATATTTTTGATCTAGAAAACTGATTATGCAACTGTGTTCTCGTGTCTGCTGGTTCAGTAGCTATGATTTCAGTTATCAAGACATATCCAAAATTTTTTTTTTAAATTAAAGAAATAAATAATTTTCGCAGAGTAGTTCCAACTAGATGCATAAGGCATTTGTGATTATGACAGACGCGTTTACTAGTTTCTTAATGTTTGGATCGAAAACATATTTCCTGCTATAATGTTGAAAATAATGGAAGTTTTTAAGAGTAATTTAAAACATTACGTTATATCATACAATAAAACCAGGTCAGTCAGTAAATTTTAACACATTTTAATGTTTATGCCAGATTATAAATTACACGAACCTGGATAGAAACAAACAAAATCTCAAAACTGAAAGATGTGCAAAACATCTGATGTATGTCTATAAGAAAAATAGTTATATACAGCACATAATTTTAAAGTTTAAATTTATAAATTTGTATCTTATTTTATTTAATTATTTTTATTTATGATACATATTTTAGTACAGATCATCATTTTATAATTTTACTTTTTATTTATCCAACAAACGACGATAACAATTCAGAACAATCGCACACACACATACTTTCCGACTGCAGTAATTTAAATCAGTTCTTTTAAAGTTAATTTTCAGATCAAACTACGTGGTACTATCATCGGAAATTGGATAATATTTTCTTTTTTCCTACACTCCAAGTATATATCCATTTTAAAAAAAGTAGGGAAATTTAAAAAAAAAAAAATTTTTTTGGTCGCATTTTACTTCATTCAATATTACGCTGTAAAAAAATCATGATATAGTAAGTGAAAAATTACAGTTAAAATGTCCACACAATATTACAGTTCCAATAATTACTACCAATTACAGTTTTATATTAAATTACACAATATACAGTTAAACACGACATTTATCATCAAAATCAACTAAAAACCGAAAACAATGCACTGCAGCCAGGCTCAGGAAGTATGATCACCCTTACAGATATTTCCTGCATGGGAAAAGAGCGGACTAACACCACCACTCTGTTTGTCTTCCTTACAGGAGCGGTTGTTAGGACTCAACAGTTATCATAGCATCCATCGCCCCCTGTTATAAGCAAGAGATTAAAGGCAAATAGACATTTACGTCTTTTTTTTATTTTTATTATTATACATCTTTAAGATTATACATTCCGTTATTTTATAATTCCTTTTATTTATCTTGTTTTGAGATTGTTGAATTTTTACAAGAACCAGTGATTGAATCCAGGTTTGCCCTCGGCCCCCTTCCGCCCTTGTTTTTCCGAATGCTACCCCACTCCGCATTGTTTTCTGCACTCTCTTGCCCCTGCCCAATAAACTCTTTTTTTTCTCTTCCCGCGTGGTGTGTTGCTTCGCCAACGTATGATATTTATTACTTTATAATTTCAAATTTAATATGTCTGTATGATTAACTGATATTCCCTGCACCGTGCTGGAGGAGAAACACCTTATTCGCCTGTTGTAGTTAATGTTGCTAACAACTAAGCGATTTACAACAATAAGCAAGTTTTTCGCTAGTTTTAGCAGGCTAGTAATAAGGTTTGGATCGGTGAGTAATAGTTGGACGATTGAAATCATTGCATATTTTTCCTTTTTATATAACTCTTTTAGACGTTGGCGCCAAACGTAGTGGCGTAAAATTAATGGAAATAATTTTTTTTAATGTATCCCCCATGTTTCCTCACCTTTTACAGAAGCTGTTGCCACCAAGCGCCCCGGTCTAAGTGAGCCCCCAACTCTACTTTCCTGTTTGACGAATTCCGGCCCTTTAAAGTCCATTAAAATATTAATATAATTTAAACTAAAACTAAAAGTAAGGTCAAGGACACGCGAAACTAAAAATATTAACCACTGGTAATGTGTCGTGATTCCATATAATATATATTACTTTGTAGGATTGTTATGAACTATCACGTCTTCAAAAAGTTTTGCTGCGAAGTTCCCTTTGAACATTTCTTTCCATTCACTAGTTGAGAAAATTTCTAATAGATGGGCAGAAAGAAATTCTAATGCAGAATTGTATAAATCATCGTCAGAATGCATATCTGCCAATTGGAGAACTGACAGCACATTTTTGACGGAAAAATTGGACTTCAGGAAGGACGAACACTTGCTCATGAGAGTCGGGACATCGTATTTGTCAGCTGCTGAGTACAACTGCGTAGCTGTTTTTTCCAACGGTTCATCTAAACTTCCAGAATACATAAACAGAAGCATCTCAGCTATTATGTTAGGATCCACGTCAGAAATTTCGACGACGCTATTCTTCGACTCTATCATTTCCGTCTCGAACATTTTAGCAAACACGGAAGATCGCGATGAGAGGATAAATTTGTGGGCAAAAAATATCCTCGAACCAACATCTATATTAACGTCTGAAAACTCTCCAGTTTCGTAAAGATTTCGCAGGTTACTGTTTAAGTATCGGAGGCCGGTAGATGGCGCAGCGGCAAAAGAAGAATCCACACACTTAGTCAACGCTTTGCAATCCGAGAATTTAAACTGGCATTCAAGTAGCAAAACATCTTCTGTATCTTCAGAAATACTTCTTGAAAAGGCCGCACACTTCCAATTTTCCTTTCCTTCGAACAAATGTTTATTTAGAGAACAGCCACTGTGTTCCGAGGATATCTTGCTTCTAACCAAAATAGGCCTGTATTGATCATCATGTACCCTGCAAAGAGAAATATGAAAGATTTTAACGTTGCCTACTTTCTCACTGACGTGAAATCTTAGAACCCATTTGCAATAATTAAACGTCTGCACTGTAAATACGTAGTTTAACGTCGTGTTAACAGCCAGGTGAGTAAAATTCGGTATTGGCCACTCAAATGATATTTTCTTGGAATCAAAGCAAATTCTGTATTTCTGTGACACAATAAGTAGATCAGTATTTATATTCCGAAGTTTGTATCTTTCGGCTGCTGCAGTTAATTGGTTATAGAATTCATATCCATTGAAATCCATTCTTCCAGTATAAATATATTTGATGATGGCCTCTAGTACATTCGGGCTGACAGACAAAACTTTCTCACAAGTCACTGTTTCATCAAGCTCTTTTGCCAGTTCGGGCCACCTGGCCCACAGAATTGCTTTATGCACTCTGAAAGCTGCACCACCAGCACGCAGCACGACGTCCGCGTAGAAGTCATTTTTGTAAGGAAGTGGTGGTAGTATATCTAGTTCGTTTGTTTCACGTACTGGTTTCAAAGTGCACTTTAAAGCCAGAATGTCGCTTTTCGAGTTTTCAACTAAGCAGTTCGTATGCAAATCATGATTCCAACCGCATTTGGCAGCAAATGTCTTAGTAGCATTAGTCACAGTACCAATCACCTTTTCATTGCAATCCAACACTTCAATACAGTATTCTATTTGACAGTTTTCTGAAACAACATCAGTTCTGCCAAGAAAAACGCCTTCGTTGCCATTACTTTGCGTACATACTCGTATAAACCATTTCATACCCGGTAAAGAACTCAGAGTAAACTCAGGACTACAAAAAAATGGTCTCTTTGGATGATGGCACATGCTGAAGTTTTCTAGAATCCAAGTAAACGTAAATTTGTCCTCGCTGCACTTCTCCATTACGAACAGCTGCAGTACCCTGTATATTTTTATCTGCCTACTAGAAACGCTCAACAAACGGGAAGAGGTCAGCCAAAACTCCTCTCGTGTGGGGGGAGGGGGATGTCAGATGAAGGGGCTGTCTGTGAGGGACCTTGCTCAAGACCGGAGGGGGGAATCCGAGAACCTCCTTTAGGGGAAATGCACTTTGGAGCTCATTGGTTCATGTAGCATTTTTACTCCTGGACGTCATTATTCTTTTCTCCTCCCCCCCCGTGCAAACAGGGGTCTGCATTTCTAAAGAATGCTTGTTATTTCGTATTGGCAACTAACAATACGGCTCTTAGCTAAAGTTCAAGCTCTAGATATCAGAATCTATATACGTTTTACCATTGCTGTTAGGACTGCTTGTCCTTTACTATCCGAGTAAAACGGAGCTTATTATTAATTTATTTATATGTTTTTAACTTGCTTTGATTTAAACAAATTCTGGAAAAATAAAAAAACTGAACTCTTACTCTATGAAATTTTATTGAGAAAACAAATTTCAAGATTTATGAGTTTTTATTATGCACATCATTTGTATCTTCTTAATAAATACGGATGCTTAAATGTGTTTTTCATTAGCTGAAGAATTAAAATTCTGCTTAATTGATAACTTTTAATACTAAGTAAAAGAGTTTTTCCATTAGATAATCAGAAAATTTAAGATTCGCCCCATCTCTAGTTAATAATAAATAAATACTCTTTTATCTAGTACAGAACCACCAATTCGTAAATTATGTAGATGTTACCTATATTTTGTAGAAATTTTAAACAATGTTTAATTTGTATAGAAAATATGTGGTGAAAAGTGATGATGTAAGTCAGCAAATATATTCTTCAATATCCCATAAATTTTGCATGTAAAGGTATGGACATTTTCACATTTAAATCTAACATACATATTTCACTAACTGGACATTTTGCTTTAAGCAGATCCCGCAAAAGGTTAGATTTTATGCATTTCTTATATAGATTTTATACTTAAAGAACCTACCACTTTATGATGTCGAATTTGTTCTCATACGATTTTCCCCCTTATTCTGAGAATCTTTGTCACTTAAAACATCGAAAATTTTGGGGAAATGTTTACAATGATTAGCATGTTTACAGATTATTGCTGCAGATAAGATGTGTTGTTGAAATTCAAGGATTTCCTGTAGTTATCTTTACCTCTTTTTTTTTCTATTTCTGTTGACATCAAGAAATGCATTAGGAGTGTAACCAAAAACCTTTCTGCATTTCAAAAAAAAAAAAAAAAAAAAAATCTGAAAAGTTTCAGCTTTAACATGCCGTTAAAGGGGCGTGTTTACGTTTAGTGCGCGTTACCCTTTATTTATCTAAATGCATGTCTTGCATTCACCTAAAATTCAGTTAATGCAATGTCGCCAAAATCTTTTAAAATGAGCCTATATTTGAATTCCGATACCATTTCGAAGGCTGGCGATCAATATGTTTTTCCCTCCCGTGAGTGTTGCCATTGCTAGCTGTGAATCCTTGAGGTGTTAATTCAGAAATCTTAAAGTTTACAAAATTGAATCGATAATAAAACAAATCCGAATTCAATTGGATTCTACATGGCCTATTCGTTGGAGGATTAGTCGTTCAAAAATTGATGGCTATTGTCCATTGTTTTATCACAATGCGAAAATAGAGATTCATTTTGAGCAAGATTTGTCATTATAATTCTTTCAAATTAATGCAGGACTCGCACATTGTTGGGCGTTGGCAAACAGTTGAAAAGTGAAACGGACATTTATAGTGATTCAACGCAAAATCGCAAAACGAAAACAATAGTCCTCCAGGGACAAAGCACATTTGGACTAAAAAAAAACTTTTTATTAAACTAAAACTGTACGGGTTGAAATAGCAACATATAAAATTTATTAATTTTTTTTTAAAAATGATACTTGTGGTGAGTTCCAACCGTGTATCTAACAGCTAAGTGTGTAGGAACCTCGTGAACAATTAAGCGAATATTCGCTTTATATTACAAACAGATACGTAAAACTCAAGAAGGGTTAATTACCTTTTATTTCTCAAAGTAAGAATTTCCTTGACGGTCCCTTTCTCAGGACGTACAGCAAGCCTCCCCTTGGGCTTGAACTTAAAACTAAAGCTTAACTGAAATATATAGCCGAAGCTATCAAGATTTCTAAATAGTTGGCCCCTAAATATCAATTAAGCTGGCGAAACTATCAAGGGCCTGAGATACGGCCGAACGTAGAAATAGTTCAGCCAAAAGGCAACCGCGCGCTAGTCAGAATCTCTGGCTCTCTAACGAAGTCAGTCAGTGGAACTTCGACCTAAATACCGCTCTTACTCATTTGCATTAACCGCGATTCTAAAAACACATTCTTTGTAGGAAATTGTAAGCTGAAATTAGGAGGGATATGAAAGTAGTTTTAACTAAAGATAACTGTTAAAAACTTAGAATAAACTTTACACTTGCCTGTTAATTTTTATGATCAACTGATTCAAGGATGCAGAAGAAAATGATGAAAATTTCTGCTTTTTGTGCTGTTAGATATTTGAGTTTTGCTTACTTTTCGGACTTGAACATTACAACTCTTCAAGGCAAACGTTATAAAGAAACTGGAGATTAGAAGAAACTGGAAATTCGAATCTTCAGATTTTGTGAAAGATAGCTAATTCGAAATTTCAAACCTTTCCACATCTTTCTTCATTCAGTTCCTTCGAATGTTAACCTATGTTTTAACTGGAGCGATCAGTTTTGTAATATCTCAATTGAATCTTTCCTCCAACGATTATATTCCCATTTCAGTACACAACAGAAATATCGATTGACCATTATTCCCATTTCAGCCCCATTTCAGGCTTTGTTTCCCACCTATTTGTATTAACTTAAAGATAAACACGATGATTTCTCACAAAGTTACACCAAAACAATCATTTTGTCTGAATTAACGTTATGATGGCAGGTCTTTTAGATTTAAACATATATTCAAGTAATGGAAGTACTCTTAAAACTTCAGAAGAGAAAGTAACTGATCATAAAAACCATGTATGATGCATATACAAGGTTTGGTTTATTTGATTATGGCAGAGCACTCCAGGGCTATATGTCGAAGAGGAGGCATGCCTTCGTGGAGGACATTCTAAAAGAAACTGTCTTGTACCTTCATTACACATGGGGAAAAACACGAAACGCGTATGCAGAAAACCCTTTTATCTGGAATCGAACCGGGTGGAGCTACAGTAGAACTCCAATTATCTGAATAATTTTGGGACCGGACCCTATTCGGATAATAAAATATAACTGGATTTTTTTCCGAAGAAAGGGTCTACGTACACTTTAATTATTATGTATTAGCTAAAAGTTGATGGAAGGAACAAAAAAAATATTTTAAAGAAAAAAGCGTTTGGATAATTAAAAGAAAAGGAAAACACTTTGTGTACATGTTATATAGGTACGGTACAGTACTTACAAGTGCTGAACGTCCAGGCGTGCTGAAACTTCGGTCCAAAGTGAGTAAACTATTTGACAGATATGTCCCTATCTTAGCCAGCCGTACTTGCCTTAAAGGATGAACAACCAAGTTCTTTGGATTATCTAGCTTTTTTCACAAGGCAATCGGACCAGAAACTGGGTTTCCCATAGAACGTTGCTGCAAAAATTACTTGAAACCGTCACCATCTAAATTTTTGTTTGTTGCTGCATTGATTTTGTTGACGCGAAGCAATGACGAAGTTTAAAAGCGTAGGTTTGCTCCTTTTGAATTCATTGACTGTCCAACACTACGTTTCCGCCTTAATTTTTTTCTTAAATTCTGAAAGTGATTCGGATAATCGGAGTTCCGATAATTGGAGTTGTACTGACTGTACCAGTGTTCAGAGACTTTACCACTCGGCCTCTGGTGGACTGTTTATACAAAGGATGGAGAAAAAAATTGAGATACAGAAATATTCTGACTTTATTTTCTTTTGTAAAAGAAGATGTAAAAACGTAGAAAATAAATGAAAAACTCCCTTTTCCCTTGAAATTGGAATAAATAAATTTTCTCTTCTAAAGTTGAAATGGAGTAAATTCGCCGAGCTTGAATTAAAAACGCACTGAATCGGCTCTTAGCCATATAGATTTAGGAGCGTCCGAACATTCAAGTGTCCAATAGGAGCGTTTAATTAAAAAACGAATGCTATTGTTATAATTTCAAAAGTGTACTTATATCACTAAAGATAATTTCGCGTTCCTTTTTAGTGATTATCTGAGAAATTAACCCTTGAAATGATCTCCCCTCTACATATGCTTTGATTTTTAAAAATTCTGCACAAATAATTTTAAAAAAAATCCAATTTGGACAACACATGAGCATCCGACAATTCCCTGTTTTAAATGGCTATAAGCTTTAAGTTAACT